CGTTTACACACACACACACACAGACACGCACACATGAAACTCGGACAACATTGAACTCAGGACAGGTGATGTGCGTGTCAAAACTTGAGTCAAAACTTCAAGACTCAACTGTTGCTGGGATGTCTACAATCTCAACAAGCCAGTTCACTGAAATAGACAAAACGAGCAAACGCAAGTCGGGTTACTACAACCGTGCAAGAAGCCACAACCAAAAATGAAATCGCAACAAAAATGGTTGCGATGACCAAGGCACAGAGGAGAAACTGCTGCATGTCAGTGTCATCGTGGCCAAACACAGCAAAAACGGCATTGAGGACGCTGTTGGGCGGCTTTGCCATGCTTTGCCGGAGCGCAGACTGGAGTCCCAGACCGTATCAGCACCTCTTAGCATCCGTGCGAGTGCGATGGCATGTACTGCCCTTGGAGCGACCCCCTGTGACCATATCCGAGAACGGTACACACACAGTCATACAGCACCTTTGCTGGCTCACACGGCACCAGAATCACAACCTCGCGCTGCAGAAAACTGCCTTGGCTTCGAAGTCCTTGTATCCGTGAGAAGTGCCGGCATGGTATGCCTCGAAAGGATCTTCAATGCCGCAAGAAATAGGCATGTGCTTTGCCAAAAGATTCGAGAATCCAGGCGTCCTACATGCAAGCGGTTCATCTGTGCTGCTCGTCCAGCCTCTCGGCTGCAGCCACTCCCTCTTCCAAGTTCAAGCGCATGATGCACAGGCTCATGACCCAAACGCAAAAGGGCATGGTACCTCACCAATCTTATCCAGCATGGTCGGCGCAGAATGCCTTCGAATGCGACAACATGCATGCGACAATACGCTGGCTGCTAGCAGGCTCGCACAAGATAGTCTTGGTCGCGGAAAAGACGACTTGGGCCAATACCTGCTACCCTCGCAACCAGGCGAGGGCTGCAAAAGACCCTCGGCAGTCATCAATGAAGGGACCCCCGACAAGCTGCAACTGCAAAGTCAAAAAACACCGGGATTTTGTTGATAAATAGCAAAGTCAAACAACCAATGCCTGCAGATGCCGGTAGCGCACCTGCGACGCAGGGCCCCGAATGTTCAAGCAGATGTCAGCCTCTCAAACATATCCGCCGAGGCCACAGGCCTCAGGCGTCTTGGGGGTTAACTCAGTACCCTCTATCTTCCGGCTCCTCGTGTAAACTTGCACAGATCACCGCCTCCATCAGTTCCTGGCTTCTGAGTGAACTCTGCAGCTCCTCAACCTGCACTTGCAGTCACAACCATCACAAGTGAATTGGATCATCTGAAGTGCCACAGCGACGAGAAGCCAACATTGAAGAACGAGGATTTCGCTTGGCAGCCCCGATGCACGCCACATGAAGAGCAAGCCGGGGTAAACCAAAGCTAGCAGCTTAGCAGAATAAGCTTCATGCCAATGCTGATGCTAACGCTGGAGAAGGTGATAAGGATGATGACGACACGGCGAAACTGAGGACGATGAAGCAGAGGACGAGGAGGAGGAGGAGGAGGGGAGGAGGCGGAGGAGGGGGAGGAGGAGGAGGAGGGGAGGAGGCGGAGGAGGAGGAGAAGGAGGACTGCGACTGCAACACAATCACGGCAACGTATGGCGACATGCAGTGCGCGGTGTCTATGACTGATCCGCACATGTGTCTGAAGGTATGGAAAAGATTGGAGAAGTGGTTCAATCAATGTGTATGCATGGGGTTGGATGCTGGGGTTGGCCACAGCACACAGCCGATCTTGCACGGCAGCAGCTGACAACCTGCCACAACCGACATGTGCGACCACTGCCCTGCACCCAGGTCAGCAAGCTAATCACGAATTCAACATCCAAGATTGTTCGGGAATATGCCCTTCCACAGTGATTAGAAAAGTTGGTGCGGCCATGATTGTATCACAATATACATACGCTTCTGCCCGATTCCTGGATGTGAGAATGCACCCTTCCACGTGCGAATTCGTGATACATGGTGGTGCATCAGCACGTCGTTGAGCTGTATAGGAAATGTACCGCAAGTTAGGCTCCATGAACGGCAAGGAAGAACAATTTCCTTCCTCCCTCATCCTGCCACGCCGGACGTGTTTCGGGAAGCAGCACGGCACTCTGCAGGAAAGATACCAGCAAAGAGATCTTAATACAGGTGCAACATGGAATCAGCCTCCTCTTGCAGCAGCTGCAAGGCTTGGTCCTTGCCAGAGGGAAACACAGTAGAGCAAAGGGCTGATCGGCACCTGTTCTCATGCTTCTGCCTACACTGATTCGCATTGCCATCATACGATGCACTGCCTTTAAGCTTTGCAAGCTCCTGCCGGTCCTACAAGTGTTGATGCATACAACCGCCAGAACCAAAGGTAAACCAACTTCAAGATCTTTACACAGCTTGTCCTTCAGCAGTAAGAGTTTTTGCAGCTCATCCACAGACAGCACCTGGTGAACAAGAGTGGAACATATTGCCATGGTTCGTGGGAGCACAGTAACAATGTGCAGGAGAGCCTCCAGCTCCGAATTTGCAGCCTGCACTATTCTTTCAAGTTGAACCATGCTCAGCTTCATGTTCTAAATCAGCGCACTTCTTCACGGACAGTGAGGACACAAGAAACATCCACTGCTGAGGAACTGCCTTCCAGGCTCTGTGAGCTTTGGATGAGATCCCGGATTTGGGAGAGCCGAGTGAACGCCTTCAGAGGAGCAATCTTGCACTCTCTCATGGCAATTCGCTGTCTGAGACTTCGCATAGCCGTGATCCACAAGTGCCGCGATCCGTATCGTAAGAAGTAGTAAGTCTCTGGCTGCGAAGGGCTTCTTCCGCTTCTTCCACTTCTCTGGCTTTTCGGAGAACCCAGCAAATACTCGCCTCGATGCATGTGATTCTAATTACTAATAAGGCCTCTGCCGATAACCCTGGCCCTAGCACATCAAAGTGCAGTTTGCAAAGCATAAAGCCTTAGCTAGTTCGATAGACTGACTCGTCTGTGCCATTGAGTTGCTGGGCAGCGGCTCTCTGTCCAGTTCGGGTGACATCCCTCGGCAAAACGTATCTCTCACATCCCACATTCGAGCATGCTAGGGCGCGGCACTCGCTCATAGCGTCAGAATCACATGGGGCAAGAACATGTTTTACAGAATAAAACTGTCAGAAAATGTGATCGTCAATGCTGCCCTGCGACCCACTCAGCAACTAGCAAAGGTGCAGTTGTATAGTGGCGATAGCTGCCCAATCTTCTAATGCAAATCATGCAGTGCCTGCAGGATAGCTAATTCACTTTGCTGCAGGGAAGGCGACGCAAGGATCTGCCGTGCATTCGGCTCAGTGCCCTCAGCGCCCGATTTAGATCAAACATCAAACAGCCTTTGCCACTTCATCTCTTCGGAAACAACGTTGTGCACATGTGCTCCCACCACCATGCACCCAGTCGTGAAGCTTAGCCCTTGATGTCGGAATTTTTGAATGCAAGCTAGCATCTACGCACAACGGCTGCACGACCAGCCCGGAGCTCACTAAATGAGAAAACTCCATCGTACGACCCGCGCCTTCACTACTCTGCGTCAACTCGATCTGAACGCTAACGAAAGGAAGTTGGAGGTTGAAACTCGCTCTGGGATAGGCCGCACTGTTTTCTGCTGCACGCCGCGTTCCACCATTCCAGTCATTTCTCTCTAACACTGTCCTTAAGACGTATCAGCTGACTGGGAATGTGAGACCATCCGGCCGACTGCAACAATTTCCTTCGATCAATTCGCACTCTGTGCCGTCCAATGAGTGGAAAGCAGCAGGGATGCCCTCCACTGCCAGGTTTTGTGCGATCAAACTATCATGCGGCCTCGCCCATGTGACATGCATAACGGCCTTCCCGAAAAGCCATCAAAGAGTGGCTGACTGCTGCTCCAGCCACCTCATCTTGCCTGGGTCGCAGAATGTCGCAGATTCATGGGAACCTCTAATCTCCTTTCGCACATGTCTATACTGAAGCCATGTGCAAGCATCGGTTCATGTTGCAATTTGAGCGCGTCTACATGTCATCTGCTGCCTTCGCCGGGAAGAAAACCTACCAGTTGGCCGGCTAGCTGCTTTCCAAATCTGTGATGGAGTCCTTTATCAGACGAAGCATCTTCAGCTGCTGCATCTGGGATACGGGTACATCTCGTAATAAGATGTCCATAAGACCTTCAACAAATTCTTCGCGGGTCACGACTCCAGATTTGTCAACGTCCTGTGTTGCGTGCAGGGGGTCCTACAACAACCGAGGTCGAGTTCTAGCGGGATGCTGTAACACACGTGGCGTGGGCTCTTCTTGGTTGTGGATTTGCTGTTCGAGAGGGTTCCAGGAACCGAAGCTTCTAGGGCATCCGTTTTGCGCCACATGGCACCACGTAAATTTGACATCTGAACCTGAGCACCGAATGTGCGCACAAAAAGGTCCGGTTGCCATCATCGCCATCACACAAGGACAGCATCGTCCCAGGTCCTAGAATCTCCTAGAAGCTGGAAGTACAGTGGATGAGTACTTAGCCAAACACCCACTAACGGATGATGCAGGCATGAAGGGCTACTTTGAAACCTCTCCGATAAGCTGACTGCGTCCCAGCATCCAAAACGTTGAAAAGCTCAGTCATGCTGCCCACAGACGCTTGGTCCAAAAGCTGGTCTGGAATTTGACCGCTGCTTTCGAACTCACGCATCTCCTCTCACATTTAGAGGCATGTAGAGAGGGCCACGAAAACTTATTTGCAGACAATTACCCTATAGGTCATCAGACCTTTCCTCGATGGCTATCTCGCCGCTCCCATCTGCATCTGCTAGATCGAAGAGCTTCAGGATCTCGGGCAGCATGGTTTTCGTGTTGGCACTCCTGTGGAGAAACTGACAAGCACATGTCGCAAAAGCTGCAACGAGGCAAAATCTCGCAAAGCAAAAGTCAAAAGACATTCGTGCCTGATCCTGTCGTCCTCCTTTCGCAAAGCCCTCGCATGTTCCATGGAACCCTCGACGAGGGCTGCAGTCACGAGATTCATCACCTCACTGGCAGGCATGCCAAAATCTAGCCGAGGAACAACTTGAGCTCAACGATTGAACGACACGAATCAGCAGATTGAGGAAGTAGTAAACTAAATAAGGATGACCTTGATCGTCACAGCTTAAGTCTGTTGCACGCTTGTTCCAAGCTTACTGACAACATCCGGCACTTATAACATCTCACGACAGCATCACGCACGCATTCGAGTGTGCAGCAGGTTTTCTGTTCCAGCATTCGCTGGCATCCCTCGCGAATGTTGTGGCTTTTCAACGATTAAATTCTCGCCGCCCTCTAATCGGATTTCCAGGAGGTTAGCGAAGTGCGGTAACGTGTGTTCCACCGACATCACAGCATGCAAAGAAGGCTCGGAGAGGGATTGGTGTCTTTGGTGTGGTCGGCTGGTGCCCGAGAAAAGATTTGGGCTGGAAAACCATCACTCCAGGAAACGAGGTTGGCTGGCGAATCCGAATCCCGAAAGCGAGAAGACTGAAACAACTGAACATAACTTGCTTGTTGTAGCAAACCCGAACGAGTCTCAGTTGATAGGTTGGGTGGGGAACTGGGGAACCCTGCAACTCCGAAGAAAAAGTGGTCTCAGGCCGAAACAAGAAGCTGCATGGAAGCCTGAAAACTATCCTAGATGAGGGCACTGGGACACACACTTGCTTAAAAACTCTACCGAGCCAAGGCATGCGGTTGGTGGGAAACCCTACGAAGTCAACGGCTACACGACAAAGGTGGTTGGGAAATCTCCAAAACCCAAAGGCTCGAAGCACATGTTTTGGCCAGTGAACCATAGATTGCCATAAATACTGCACTAAGGTGTTGGCACAAAGGACAAGGACGTTGGGTGGGAAGCACCAAACAAAACCAAGAACAGAACGACGTGTCTTCTCGCAAGCCCTTGCTAACTAAATGTTGCGTCGGAACTCCGAAGCCATTAACGCAAAAACGGAGATGTTGGCTGGTCAAGGTTTAACACGAAACATCACATCCTGAAAGCACGCGTTTTATGGAAATTTTGAGGCGGCAAGATACTTGGGTCGGAAACCCAACTCGAAAAGCGAAATGGTGGCTTGCGACCCTAAGAAATCCCTTTTTACCGCCGTCAAATCCCAAAAGGCAAACATGAAGTGTTGGCTTGCGAACCCTAAAACCTGCAACTAGAAGCTGGGTGAGAAACATTGGCTGACAAACTTAAACCCTAAAAACAGCAAATGGTTGCGACACCCGAGAAACCGTTGGCTGTCATGTTGGGCCAAACCCAAAATGAAAGCGGCTGGCGGACCCTGACCCCTACAGAAGCCGCTACACGCTTGCGCGAAGTGTTCCCGGAAAGGAGTTGCATGGAAACCCGACAAAAGACTGAGAGGATCTTCAGTACAAAAAGCATCCAAGAACATGATGTCACCTTGCAGCTCCGAGGGAAATTCCAACTGTTTGTGATCTCATCTACGAGGTATGTCAGGTTAGTTTTCAAGACAGGCCAGATCGTGCAGCTCTTTACACTCAGCCTTTCTTGTGGGGGTGAGTTCCAATAGCGCACCACCATGTTCGACGATTCTCCGAGTACCACTGAGCCGGCTACCGACACTGATACAATGAGAATCAGCACGGCGAAGAAGAAGAATATCGCTGGCTCCAGCTTGACCATTGGGAGGTAGATCGCGGATATGTTGTCCATGGTGATGAACTGAGTGAGTGTAACCATCGACATACCAAGCGAGCTGAAGTTCTCACGAATCACGGCGTTTGCAGCTGGATCGGACTGAAACCGGGGATTGACTGCAATGAGCTCAAGGCCCAAGACACCGAACACATACAATACCAACCTTGCTGGCTCGTTCCGTTTGCAGCCGTTTGAAGCAGGATGAAATCACATCGGTCACATGGGAAGATTCAAGTTCGTGAAAGCACTCGAACCGAGATGTTAGTTCTTAATTGCCACGAAAAGCTTGCATCGCCCTTCCAACACAAAATGCGCCTGCTATTGTCTCCGACCAAGCAGCAACAACAGCATTAAGGTGGAAAGTACTGTGTCCGCTGAAGCCATGAGACCATGCACCAAGCGCCACAGAGGCTTGATCTGCTTGACCATGCGAAATGAGCGGATGAGGCGAAAGAGGCGCAGCAGGCGCAAGACAATAATCTGCTGTTGTGCTTCACCAGCGACACCGGCAATGATACGTTCCAAATACGAGAAAACCACCAGACTGAGATCAAAGAGGAACCAACCTTCGCAGAATACCTTTGCACCTCCAGCCAGCACCCTCAAAACAATCTCAATGGTGTAGATGCCAAGCAGAACCACTTCCACAGGTGCAGCCCACTCGAGCTTCCCGTCATCAAGGCGCAGCTCACTTTCAATCCCAATGATGACTGAATTCAGAACAATAGCTGCAAGAATATAAAGCTCAAAGACCCAGCTGTGCACAATTCGAACAGAAGCTTTGTGCAGGAATGCCCCAATACCTTCAGACCAAGCTGGAATGTTGGCTCGTGTTTCGTTACGGATGTGGTCGCGTAGAGCATCGCTTGTTGCCTGCCTCCTGAAACTGGACTGCTGTAAAACCGTCGCCACACGAGCTGAGTCCTGAGATCTGTCGTGCGAGACTTCCTCTGGTGTGCTTCAGCACAAGTCTGTTCCTGCAAGCTCGATTCGCATGCAGCTTGCAACCAAGCTGCCGGAGCAGAATTCCCAACCACTGCTTCTGGTGGCGCATTTTGCGAGAATGCGGAACTTTTCACTGCCTTTGCAACAAAAGCTAGCAACAGCAGCGAAAGAGTCCTACATGGAGATGTTCTTCCAGTTTGCACTCACTAATCCGATCTTTTCCTGCCCAGTTTACGTCGGAAGCTTGTCACGACAAGTGGAGAGCAGACAGAAAAGCACAAGAGGATCTGAAGTGTGCCAACAATCTGACAGCTCGCATCTGAAGGAACCTTCGAAGAACTCTAAAATGTAACATCCCGGACCGGCCTCTTGTTCTCCGTCTGAAGAGACTG